AAAAAAAAAAAAAAAAAAAAAAAACAACTAGACAGAAAGAAAAACACATTTTTCTCCAAGAACAAAATCAATAGAAAGATGCCTTCTCACCGTAATAAGGGTTAGCGTGTCTACTCTTCATAAATGGAGGCGGCGATTAACACGAGGAAGCAGGAATCGAAAAAGGGAGGTGTATCCATTACGTAGATGCGGATAATTATTTTTCTACTACAAATTTGTGTCTGTTCCCGCCTCGGGCATGGTGTGGGGCTTCAGGAGGGGGGTGGAGGAGGAAGGGGGGAAGACAAGAGACCAGAGGTAAGAGAACGAGACAGGAATTAGGATGCCTAAGTATCGACCCCCTTCAGGTACCTACTGTACCGTGCTCGATGCTGTGATCCTTCATCTCATTTCATCTGCACGAATTATCTTCCAGATGGGCTGTGACTCTGGCCACTTCGCACACGAGGCGCAGAAAGGCGAAGTAATGTTTGCACAGCAGTTGAGGGGCCGGAGGAAAGAATCCTCACGTAGTTGGCTCACCTGTACCCCTTTGCTGGACAGTGTGGACAGTGTGCTAAGTCCTGCATTCTCCAGCCTGCCTCTCTCTCTCTCTCTCTCTCTCTCTCTCTCTCTCGTTTTCTCTCTCTCTTTCTCTGTCTCTCCCTCTCCCTCTTCCCCCCCACCACCCGCCGCCCCTCTCTCTCATCTCTATTGTAAATCACTCTATGGAGAATGTAACTCAGTTGGCCTCGAGTGTGAATTGGGTGCTCCAGTCCCCATCTCCTCTAAGGTACTGATCAGCTTGAAGGAAGGTGCATGTGTGGTCTGTCCCTGTGTCACCAACCAGCACACGATGACAGTATATGTGTTGAGCACCTACCGTGTGCCAGGCTCTGGGTAAAATGCCTTGGACTCATTATCTTAAATCCTCACAAAGACCCAGTGAGCTAGGTTTCTGGTCCCCATTTTGCAGATGCGGAAAATAGACTCGGAGAGGAAACACGTTTACGAGAGTAAGAGGGCTTCAAGAAAGCCCTGGCTTCTTGCTCCCTGGTAAGGCTCGTCTCTGTCCAGGGAGGCATTTAGAAGAAACACCATTCTTGGGGCGCCCGGGTGGCTCAGTCGGTTAAGCGTCCAACTTCGGCTCAGGTCATGATCTCGAGGTTCAGGAGTTCGAGCTCCACGGCGGGCTCTTTGCTGACAACCCAGCCTGGAGCTTGCTTCGGATTCTGTGTCTCCCTCTTTCTCTGCCCCTCCCCTGCTCATTCTCTCTCACTCTCTCTCTCTCTCTCAAAAATAAAGAAAAACATTTAAAAAATTAAAAATAAAAAAAAATAAGGAAAATGCCCAGAAGAAGGGCTGGCACCCAGTGCCGTAGACAAGGACGCAGGGCGAACCCTCACGTACACTCGGATATCATTTTCCTATTTAGCAGCAGCGGTGATGCTGTATTGGGAGCGAGTCTCCCAGCCAAACAGCCAGAGAGCCTATGGGAGAGGCATTGCTGGTTTGTGACTATGCACGCCTCCCCCTCCCAGATTCCCGGGTTTCTGCAGTCATGCGGGGCCACGGGAATAATTCTGGCACGGGTTCTAGGCAGGAGCGAGCGTGGCACTTCCTGCCAGAGCACGTCAGTGGCCGCATAGTCCTCCGACTCTGTCCCTTCCGCTGCCACAATGAACCAACGACGAAGGAGCCCGCAGGGACCAGACGGAGAGCTACAGGGCAGTGAAGCTCCCCGAGGGACTGTGGAGCAGAGCTCGTCACCAACGTGCAGCGAGTATTGACATAGACAAGAAATCGATTTCTGTTGCCCCATTCAACCCGATGAGGTTATGGAGTTCATCTGTTACCGCAGCATAACCTAACCTAATCCGAACGATTCAGAGCCTTCTGCGGGTTGTTTCTGATGACTGCCCAGGCGGTTTTCTTAAGGATATTCTGCATCAGTGTGCTTAGTAACCCAACCTGTTTCCTCCAGGGGCCTCCTCGCCTGCTTCCAGACATGCCGGGCTTCCCGGGACCCGGTCCTCCGGTGAGGCTGTGCGTGGGCCTCACGTGCATTCTGTCCCTTTGGAACACAGGTGGGTCCGGTCTGAGTTCAAGAAGTGCCTGTTCTATATGCCGAGTCTGGGTTTTCACTGGGCTTTGGAGAATGACAGCAGCTAACATGTCCGGCCAGAATCCTAAATGAGTCCCATCGAAACGGCGATGATGAATTCCCCATGTCTGGTTTTGCCCTCTGACTTCCTGCACCAGAGTCTCTGTTGCGCAACAGCATTATCTCCCCCGCCACTGTTACGCCTCTTGTCCAAACCACTGTCCTCTCTTTCCTGGACCATGAAGGGAGCTTTCTAAATCAGCCCCTGCTTCTCCTCCTGTCTCACCATGACCTATTCTCCACTCACCAGCCTGGGCGATCTTTTCACAACTCTCGGCAAGTCACCTCCCAGGCTCCTCCCTCATTTCACCTGCCCCAAGTTATTCAGTGACTTCCTACTTCTCTCTGGAGCGTACCCCAAGTCCTCCGCATAGTCTACACGACCCTGCCCACCTTGCCATCCCCGGTTCCTACGATGCCCCGCCTCAGCGCTGGCTTTCGCTCAGTTCTTTAAAGTCGTGCTCGTGCCCACCGCGTCCCCTGGCACACACACTGTCATCTACACTCTGCCGACCCCCCCCCCCCAGCCAGTTACATTCTACTCAAATACTATTCACCCTTCAGCCGCACATCACCTGCCAGGGAGAGCTTTCAGACCACTGAGATGAATCGGGCTCCCTGTTACACACCCTCAAGGCGCTCTTCAAAGCATTCCGCGTCATTCATCGTAATATCTTTGAGTCTTCTTTTCCTTTACGTCGGCCTTCCTGACTAGACTATAAGCACCACAAGGATGCAGTCTGCACTCGCTTGTTCATCATGGTATCCCCGGCACCCAACACACGCAAAGCTTATTAAAGTCCAGCTGCTACGTAACATGGTCACAGTCGATCAATAAATACGCAGTGACTGAACTCAAAGAGCCAACTACACGTGGCATGTTAAGCAAGGCACTTCGCCGTTTCCGATCATAGTCTTCTCATCTTTAAGATGAGCGTGTTGGATCCAATTCTTTCTCGTGTCAAGCCTGGGTTATAGTTTCTCTGATGAGCGCTCTTTTATTTTAGTGTCTGCTGTGAAAGGAGAAGCCAAGAAGGAAAAGGTGATGACCCTCCTTCCTCCAACAGGTAAACGGGCGGGTGTGCCTGCCCCGCTCATTCTCAAACTCCTTGGCTTCTCCGAGCCTCACTGTTCCTATCTGTAAGACGGGGCTTGCGTCTGCAGCTTAAGCGTTAACTGTCATAGTAAGAGTTCCTGACAGTTGTGCTTGCTCTATGGCTCTTGGGACCCCTGGATTCCCGTGATCTTATTAAATCCACAAAGATCACCTCGCTCGATCAGCAATGGACGATTTTGCAATGGGAGGCATTGTCATGGGCTATCCCCATTTTTGCAATAAATTCCTCTTTCCTTGCCTCTTCTTTTTCTTTTTTTCTTTTTGGTGGTGCAAAATCTGCTCTGCAGCACGACCGTGGATGCATTGCAACATAAGGAGCACACAGGAGGCAGGGGCCTGGCTGCCTTTTCCAATCTGTTGGCAAACAAGCAGGATAATGGGGGTGGGGGCACACAGCGGGGGAATTACTCTTTATTTTTTAAATTTTGATTTATTTACTTTTTTTAGTGAGAGAGAGAGAGACAGAGCATGAGTGAGGGAGGGGCAGAGAGAGGGAGACACAGAATCTGAAACGGGCTCCAGGCTCCAAGCTGTCAGCACAGAACCTGACACGGGGCTCGAACTCACAGACCGCGAGATTATGAGCTGAGCCAAGTCGGATGCTTAACCGACTGAGCCAACCAGACACCCCTATTTATTCGTTTATTTTGAGAGAACGAGAGAGAGAGAGCTGAAGCAGGGGAAGGGCAGAGAGAGAGGGAGAGAAAGAATCCCAAGGAGGTTCCTCCTTGTCAACGCAGAGCCCGATGCGCGGCTCAAACTAAGGCACAAACTGTGGGATCATGACCGGAGCCAAAACCAAGAGCCAGACTCTTACTTAACCAACTGAGCCACCCAGACACCCCGTAATTTTACTTAGTTTTAATTAGTGCATTCGTGTGGTTCCAGATGCAAAAACGCAAAAGGAACAAAAGTGTACGAAGTGAAAATGGTCCCCAGCCAAGCGCTTCCCTTCCCCAGAGGACACGAGTGGTACCGATCTCTGGTGCATACGCAGGTTAATTGTCGATAAACATTTTCCTTATTTGAGCCGTCAGTTTTCTCCTCTTCAAATGGGGACAATTCGTGCTCCACAGGTAATCATAAAGGATGAACCGTGGTTAAACTAGTAAGCACGCAAAAAATATGAAAACTACCAACACTTTCTCTCTTACAGATACCGCTAAGGTGGTCTTTTCATCCGCAAAGGGAACAGTCCCTTTCTATTGTCTGTCTGGCCATTTATTTGAGAAATGCTTCTGTACGGCATCCTATTCAGAAGTGTGTGCCTCCGGGGTGTTTCGTTCACGCGTCAAATACTGTTATCAGAATCCACCCACAGGTGTGCAATTACACAAAGGAATGATGGACATAATGTCTCCTTGGTGGGAGGAGTGGTGTTCGGGGAGGGTTCTCGGGTAGGAAAGTTTGCACAGGGCCGGCCAGCCTCACAGCCTGTAGCACCCCTGTGGCCTGGAGCTCCAATCCCTCACCGGCACGGAGGTCTCTCTGTCCTTCCCGGCCAGGTCACAGGCGAGGTCGGCGGCTGCCACAATTGTCACTGGGGCGGCTTCCTGTAGACTCTTCAGGTGGAGTGCCCTTCAGAGCGCCAGACGGGAGAGCAGGCCGTGTGCCAGCTCTTCACCTGCTTGATCGCAAATGTCTGTCTCAGAGTTCCTACTGTCGTCACGTCACCCACTCCCCCCAGTAACCGTGTGTACGGAAGGGGACCCGTGGACCCCACCTGCCTCTGACCTCAACGCTCCAGTAGTTAACCAGGAAGCTTGGTTAAAAGCTTGGTTGAAGAGCCAGGGAACACCCCAAAACATTCGTCCTGTGGATGAACGGATAAAGAAAATGCGGTATGTCCATTCAGTGAAACATCATGCAGCCTTAAAAAGGAAGATAATCTTGCCATATACATGATGGATGGTCCTGGAGGGCGTTATGCTACGTGAAGCCAGTCACAGAAGGACGAATACTACATGATGCCTCTTCTTCTAGGAGGTATCTAAAATCGTCACTCCTACACGCAGAGAGTAGAAAGGGGGTTGCCAGAGGCAAAGGGAAAGAGGAAACAGGGCCACTGGTCAGGTACGGGGTATAACTACATACATCACGTCGCTTTCCTGGGCCTCAATTTCCCCATCCTTCAAAGGGAATGTCGGACAAGATACTTGCAAAGGATGTTACGAATTGTGCACGGCTGCTTTTCCACAATCCTGTTTCGTTCATGAGAACTTTTATTTCAGTGTCTGGAGACAAAGACATTCAAAAGGAAAAAGAGACAGCTGTCCTTGGCACGACGGGTAACTAAGCCAGCCTTGAATCCTGACTTGCTCTGTAGGTCTGGAACTTGGTTTTCAGCCTGTCTGTGCCTTGGTTTTTCCATCTATAAAATGGGCATAAAGCACCCCTCCCGGAATGTAACACGAAACATAATCATTCCGACAATATTAGAAACAAATCCGATATGTTCGTAATGCCACCTAACCCCAAACCACCGATCCTTCAGGTCACGGCTTTCCAGCCACTTCCACAGAGAGTCCCTCTCGAGAGTGCCCCCTAGACCAGGCCAGGCGTCCTGAGGGAGGAGCTCGTGGCATCCTGCTGGGCCCCGTCTGCTGCCCCTCACGTGTGATTACCCTCCTCCTGCCCGGGGCACAGACAGCAAACCCCACAGAGGCGGAGACCTGTCTCTCTCTCTCTCTCTCTCCCTCTCTCTCAACTCCCAGCATGATTGCATGGCCCTCAGTGAGTGTTTGTTGAATGAATAAAGAATGAATGTACGCTTAGGCATTTCAAGATTTCCTGTGACGTTTTCTTCGCTAGCACGAACTTCACCGAGCAGGCCAGTGGCCTGCTCTCATGACAAGGCCACTTGTCTGCAGCTCTTAGGAAACAGGTTCTGGGCTCTCTTGTTTAGGCAAGCTTCTTCTCCACTCTGAGCCTCAGCTTCCTGATCCATAAAGGGGTGGGGTAGATTAGGCCCCCTGCCTGGGGATCACCTGCCTGTTTATTAAAATGTGAATTTCTAGGCCAAGGTCGGCCTAAGGAGACTCGAGTATTGGGGGGGGGGGGGGGGAGTCTGCCTTCTCACACGGCAGGTGATTCCACCCTTCTCTAAGCCCAAGGCCCCTGCGCCGAGGCCCCTAAGTCTCTTCCAGCGACGTGTCTCCCCTGAAGTCTTTCTCTCCCCAGTGTCTGGCCTTGGAGGAGAAGAGAGGAAGGAAAAGGGGGTGGCTTTTCTCGACACCACAGGTGAGTCCCTTCCTCCCTCCGGGGCTCCGTGGGCGGGCCGGCTAAGGGAGCCCCCTCCCCGCCCCCACGTCTCCAGACCCCCACTCATAATCCCCACAGCCTCAGTCTGCAGATTGCGAGATCCACACAATTATCCAAGCATTAAGCACTGAGAACCACCTCGTTAGTGAAAATATAAAGAGGCGCATTAACCACTCTTTCCGCCTCGTCTACTGCTATCCCGAATCTTCAGGAAAGAGCCTGCGAGGGGCGGGTCTTAACCTGGCAAGGTCTCTCCACTCAGCTGCACACTCCCAATATCTGGGGGAGTGACCCACTGGTTGATTGATTTTGGTGCGGATGTCTGGGCCGCGTCCCAGACCTGTTAGATCCGGATCTCCGAAGAGGGAGTCCGAGCATCAGAATAGCAGAATCAAAAAAATAAATAAATAAAACCAAACGTTTTTCTCCGAGTGATGCCAGGTGCCCAGCCAGGGCATCGTCTGTTCGACCACGTAGTCAGTTCCAAACGCAGTGGGGTTGAGAAACCTTGCCATTTCCGTGGGCTTCCCATCACGCGTGGGCATCCGCCACCGATCTCTACTGTCCCCAAATGCAGAGATAAATTATTCACAAAGGGAGCGCTCCCGTCCTTCACGGGGACTTGTCTTCTCTAACTTGTCATGATGTATGCCGCTGGCTGTCACCTCCTGAGGACGAGAACTGCCTTTTATCTCCGGACTCCATGTGCCTGGCAGTGGGGATGAGCTCCGGAAACGTCCAAAGACGAGGCACAGGTGCCTGAATGTCGGCATCGGGGAACTTCCGTTGTCGAAAAAAGCCTGCTGGTGACAGTATCTGCAAATCTCTTCTAGAACTGCCCGCAAGGTCAGTCGATCTGTCCGCGCTGAACCTGACAGAGCTGGTGAACGGGATGCTGAGCAGAGCTTTAAAAGGTAACCTTTGTCGGGGCCCCCGGGTGGCTCTGTGGGTTGAGCATCTGACTCTTGATTTCGGCGCAGGTCATGACCTCACGGTGCGTGATTTCGAGTCCCGCATCAGGCTCCAGGCTGGCAGGTGGATCCTGCTTGGGATTCTCTCTCCCTCTCTCTCTGTCCCTCCCCCACTTGCACTCTCTCTCTTTCTCTCTCTCTCTCTCTCTCAAAATAAACAAACATTCAAAAAAAATTTTTTTTAAGGATAACCTTTTTAAAAAACCCGGTCCAGGCACACGTTGGTCTTGCGCCCACTTCCCTTCTGGAAGGTCTGCAGTCTGGGCAAGACAAGTCACATCTCTGCATGCCGGCTCCTCCCTGCTCAGATGGAAGGCGTGGTGTCCTCCCAGACCCCTGATGAGATTGAAAACATCCACATGAAGTAGGAGGCTGGCCAACATCTTGAGAGCGAGCTGCACCCCAGACATGGCACCCGGACAGACATTTCTAATCACACCTGCCCTGCGAGAGAGCCACCAGGGCTTAGGGACAGATCGGAAACACAGCCAAGGGACAGGTCCTTCTGCAATTTGGGTTTTGCTTATATTCAATTTTGCGCATTAACTTCCATTTTTGTTCCTTTATTGTATATTTTTGTCATTTATTTTTATTTGCTCACCATCCTTTTTTTAAAAAATTTTTAATGTGTATTTTATTTTTGAGAGAGAGAGAGAGAGAGAAAGAGAGAGTGTGAGCAGGG